GAGACCAGGGACACGGCCCTCCTCTTGCCCACATTTGTTTTTCTGTATCAGGTCGAACCAAATACTAGAGCCTCCCTCATCGGGTGCCGCCCACGGCCCTGAGTCTGCGGCCGCTGAGGGCTGGGTATTTTTGAGGTTGAAACGTGGTCGTTGACTCAACTGAGAATTACTGGTTGAGAAAGCGCTGTCTACGCACACTGGTTCTACAGATTTCAACGTTTTAACCAGAAAAAGGGTGGTGCAGACTTGAGATTTCTTCCCTGCAGAACTTCTGTGAGCCCTGGACATGCACAGATCCCAGAACGCCTCCCACCCAGGCAGCATTTTGTCTGCCTCAAACCCTACCCCACACATCCCTGGACTTTTTTTCAGTCTGTTGTGGAATTAAGAGGGTTTTTTTTTGGAAAACATGGGCCTCAAACACTCATCACCTGGGCAGTCAGAAGTCACTGCCAGTCCGCGGAGAAGAGCCCTTCACAAGGAACCTATAAAAATGTATGAAATTACTGGCCTTAAGAGGCCCCTGGGGCCACACTTGGGGCTGGACAGCATTCCCTCCTGTGCCTTCCGGGGACCTGCCGTCCCCACCCTACCCAGGGGCTCCAGGTAGCTGAGCCTGCTTTTTGTGTGGCCTGCATGCAGCCTGAACTCCCCTCACTGGCCCAGTGCGTTCCAACAGGACTTTCCACGATTAGTCAGGTTAATTTACCTCTAAATAGGCACACGTGGCTGGTGGCTACTGTCCTGCAGGTCTAGTGGACGGCCTTCCTGAGGCCTCTTTGCTCCTTCTGATCGTCCCTCTGTCTGCCTGTCTATCCTCCCCTGGGGCGAGTGTGGGGCCTGGTCCTCTGCCTGTCTGTCCTGGTGACTTTCTTCCCTCCACCTCCCAGCTGGGTGGTACACCACCACCACCACCACCCCCAGTGCTTGGCCTTTTCCCCCTCTCTCACCCTGGCCCTCGCCTTTGAGCAGGTCACAAACCTGGAATGCAAGTGGCTCTGGGCCCTGCTGCTCTGGGAAAAGCCCAGCCACTTCTGGAGTCTCTGTGACCAAGTTCCAGGGCAGTTCCTGGTTCTTTCACATCTACTGCCTCAGGGTTTCCTGGTGACTCCACCCCCAGGCTGTTCCCGAGAAAGTAGCTCTGCTTAACTCCTGGCGGGTGTCCCACTGGCCAGTGCACACCCGGGAGAGCTCAGGGGTCTTAGAGCCACGTGTACCTGCCGTGGGGGCGTCTGGCACCTGCCAGGGTCAACACGCAAGCATCTGTGGGGTGCGGGGACAGCGGTGCCCGCCCACAGGGAGACTGGAATTTCTTTCCTCGCACTGGGCAGGGAGGAGGTGGGTTCTCGGCTGCACTGGAGAGTATGCCACTGCCGCTGACTCAGCCGTCTGGGAAAAGCTCTCTGGAAAAGTACTGAACCCAGGGCACCCGGTAGGAGACTGTACTCGGCTGAACCGGTCACCTGGCGGCCTCTCCTTCCTTCAGGTGTCCTGCTGGAAGGTGCGCCCAGGTGCGGGA